AAAAAAAAAAAAAGAATCACTTATAAAGATATATAAATTGTCAATGTTTCCATCAAATTAGTGAAACCTTAACATTTGAAATTGGTGTAATGTTTGAAATAAGATATCTAGAATGCAAAATAAATAGTGTAGATTTGCAAATATATTTTTCTTATATTATCTTGTATGATAAATTTTTCAGTTTTTGCGGAAAAAAATAAGACTATTATTTATTTATTTATTTTATTTATTTATCTTTATTTAATATGTTCTTTTTACTAAACATATGCAGTAGTAATATAGGGTTGATCACCCTTGGTTCATTGTATACATACCACCCAAATTATTTTGGACTGCCGTAATTATAAGTAAAATCCCAAATTCAATTATGGCATCCCAAATTATTTTGGCACTTTACATAGTAAATTATATATAAACCGAATGAATTATGGCATCCCAAATTATAATTATGGCATCCTAAAATAATTTGGGCAGCATGTATAGTTCATTGGTTAGTCTGTGAGTCCCTTCGTGAAGCTTGAGTATGGTAAGGTGATTCCGCTGATCATGAAAATTAAAAGAATTTTACTGCAGATACTACTACCAATAGTGTAATATAAAGGTACAGGAATTAGTGTAGGCTGGACTGCATCATAGTGAATTAGTATGTACCGGTCAGTACCATATTTCAACAAAGGATTATGGTGTCCTCCTAGCGTTTCCTATGAGGCTATTGGGAAGCCTATTGTCCTGTCTGGATGGTCACTACTTGCATACCATCTGGGTGAGCTATTGTTTTGGTGGTCACTCTACAATACCACTAAGGGTGTGGTAAACTTTACTGTGGGGGTTTACTACGCTAGATGGTCCACATAGATGGTAAAGTCTCAAGTGCAATGTCTTAGCAGTAGTTTACCTTTTAATAGGTTTAGGCTGATTGGAGACGTTCGTAGGCTTACAAGTATATAAGGTTCTAAGGTGAGGTTCGATTCCTCAGCAGTGAATTTGATGTACTGGTGGGTGATCCCTGGGTAACTGGATTGGTTACTTATAATAAAGGGGTGATCCCAGTACCCTTAGTAGTTTACTGTCCTGGTAGTCACTACTATTACTACTGGGGAATTTACAACTATGGTGAGCTGGTATGGTAATCGCGGCCTGTAGTGGGCTTTGAGTGAGGCCATATTTGTAGTCTTAGTATTACAGTACCTCTAAGCTAACCATTATGGAAGGACTTCTAGATGTCTGCTCCGTTATATCTGCTATACGTGAGTAGTTGCTCACTTCTGACAGGCGCTAGTGGGTAGCATAACTGTGTCAGTAACCCTGCTACATTACGACCCATCCTTGTGTGGGTATAAACTTGGGTCGTCTTCCCAGTGTGGTATATAGGAGATAGGGGGGATGAACATCCGGTTACTTCTAAATAATTAAAGTAGGTTGCTTGGTTATTTATTTGTTGCTTAACGGTAGGAGTATATTACTGCAACTGGTGTTGTAATGCTCCTTTCACATAGCTTTGGTGAGCCGGCTATGCTCTGTCTCTTATACACATCTAGATGTGTATAAGAGACAGATCCTATCCAAACAAAACTTTTTATTAACATAAACAAATTATATACTTTATTAAAATCCCAAATCCTACAAATCAAAATTTCTTTAAAAATTTCATCCAAATTTACATTTTCCATTTGACTATTAATTATTATCAATTTTTATAGATAATGTTGAAATTTACCAATTATATTTTGATATACTTGTTCTAAATGTTCACATTTTTATAAATATATTAGTAAAAAACTTCTTTATTACTTTTATTTATATTTTCTTTTTATATTGATTATTATTTTTAAGAAATAAATATGATAATAGGTATGTATTATTTTTATATGTAAAATATATAATTTAAATTTCAAATTTTTGTATTATAAGTACCATTTATTCTATATTTATTAATAATAATTCCAAATTTATTTATTTGATCAATACTGATTTTATTTTAATTGCGTCTATCAGAAATAGATTTATTTTTACTTAATAAATAATAGTAAATCTATATTTTTACTATTAATAAGATATATATAAATCTTTGTATTATTTACTATAAATTTTTTATATTTTATAGTATGATGTATTAATGAACTTGGTTAATATATATTTTAGTTATATGTGTAATTTTATTAACTGAAATTTTTTAAAATATCATCATACTCAAATTCTTTATTAATGAAATATTTTATTATTTTAATAGATTAAAATTATAAAATTATACTTTTGAAGTGTGAATAGTTTTTTTATTTTTTTTGTACTTCTTTTCTCTAAAGAGACAAATAAGATTTCATTATAAGAATTTGGCTAATTTTTTGCTTAAAGAATTTGAACAAATAATGGCAATACATTTTATTTTTAGTATTATATACATCACTTATTACTAGCATTTACATTAATTGTAATATTTTTCTTCTTATGCTTTTATTTATTTATTATATTCTGGCTGTAAAAAAATGTAAAGTAATCATATAATATTATAAATTAAGCCAAAATTAACTATTTTAGATATTGCAAAATATGGAATTTTTCAATTCCTCAACAATTATTTTGCTACATTATTTTATTTTACCTTATAATTCTAGGCATACTAATATCATTTTGTAAAGTATCTTTTGTTTTTTTTATAATTAAATCAATATCATTTTACTGATTGAAAATATTAAATATGAAATGTGTTTGTACATTTATTGAGTTTTGAAACTTTAAACTCTATTCAAATATTGTTAAAACAATGACCATTAAAAACATTAACTACAAAAAATTAAGCTCTAATGACTTCTAATAAGGTTAATAAAAACAATATTAGATTATATAGATAAGTAAAAAATATATATGAGATATATAAAAAGATACATACTTTCTAAATCACCGATTGATTGATTTAAAATCTCTTGTTGCTAAAATATATAAATATGTTACATATGTTACATATAATTATGACACTAAACAATTAATTAAAAAATTAAATTAAAGCAACGAACCGTTTTAGGATCTTCTAATTGTTTTTTTACACGCTCAATGACATAATCTGAAAGGGCCTTTTGTTCTCGTTCACGTAAAGAAGACTCATAACGAACCCATGAATCTAAAACAGCCTTAACCTCGGTAGCTGCTGCGACTTTTTGTTTCAATTCGAAGGCTTCAGCTTCCAACGAAGCAATTTCCTTTCAAAATATAATTTTAATCAAGAACAGAGAATAAAACTTAAAAATAAGTTCGACATCTAATAAAAATACCTTAGACATAGAAAATAATGCCTTCGTAGTATCAACAATGTCTCCTAACTGTCCAACTGTTTCAATTCTTTCCTGAACAGCATTTTTATGATCATCTCGAGCTTTACGGAGAATATTATTCACCCGCTTAATTTAATGTAGAATATTATTAAATCACAATGTTTATTTAATATTTGTCAAGGAAGTTTAGAGGTTGCCCTACTACATACTCCTTTTTGCTCTTCAGCCCATTCATTAACCGGTTTTTTAAGTGCACGATATAAGACAGCCGCAATGGAAGCAAAGCTAACCACCAATAAAGTTTCCTCATTGAACACATATAATTCTTTAGAGATAGCCAAAGTTACTAATCCTGTTCCCACAGTGATGTAGCCAGTCTTTGTGATTAAAGAATTTCCAGGTAGAGAATCGATGATACTTAATGCTTTCTGTTTAGGTTCAACCTTTTGTTTATCTGATTAATGCAAAAATTCATATTGGTTTAAATCTTCACTGACAATTATTTATTCTTTTGTTATAAACACATACCATCTTTAGAAGAAGCGGTATATCTTCGAATTCTATTTGTTGCAGATAGATAATTGGTAATATATTGAAGTTTATTATTAAAACAAATTCATTTATCATCGAATTTTCCTTTAATCTTTAATATTCAAAAGAATTCTTAAATCCTTAATACAATTTTTAAAAAAAAGAATAAAAAACAATACCCAGAAAACGCAACATTGCGTTGTGAAATCTGCAATGGCCTTAAGGTGGCAGCTATTTCACGAAAAAAAAATAAATATAACCTTTTTTTAAGTGTGAAGTTGATACAAAAAGGTTAAAACAGGGACTCAATAATAATTATTAACTACCTGACAAACCTCGCGGATTTCTAATAAGCCTGAAAGCCATTACTTAGAAAAGAAGAATATAATTAATTAAACCCGAAAAAATTCTCGAGATCGATAAATTACGAATTTTTGATCTTGGCAGAATTAACAAGGAAATTTATAATGCTGGCCACTGAAAAACAGCTGATCCTGCTATTGTGTAGCCAAGCCAAAATATTTTTTTAAAAAAGTGCGTCATTCAAAAAGCTTCGCAGTAAAATATAGAATAGTCTCGGTCAAAAACTATTTGCAATATGACCAGTCAAGACTCGCAATATCAGAATAATGATTATTGGCAGAATGGCGAATATTCGTCTCAAGCTTACATTAAAAAAGAGCCACAAGACCAGACTCAAGATTTGCCTGAAGGTCAGGATTTTTTCTTTCTTTTTATTTTAATATAAGCAGTTTTTTAATTTTTGTTCTATTTTTCAGGCGAATCTTCAAATCGAGCTTCAGAGCTGGCTAATAATTTTCTAACCAATCTTACATTTACAGAAGCTTTTTCAAAACTGGAAACTTCAGAAACAACAGGTGATTCAAAGGGTAAGAGCGAATTAAACAAAAAGGTTTCACGACCTTTAGTTTATTCTTTTTATAATAGAGCTGAAAGGGGAAGGAAGTTCATTAGAAGAATGAGATACACTTTAATTAGCTGTGATATTATTACACCCAAATACTTTTTCATTTATTTTTAAAAGGCAAAACTTTATTGTCTACCCCTTTGTTCTTTTTTTTGGAAAAATAGTCACTAATGTCATGTCGTTATTGCTCTTTTTCCTTTTTTTTTTTCTTTTTTATTGTTGTGGTTAATTATCACGCATAGTGGGTTCTCTTTCCTTTGATAGTTCCAACAAGAGAAAAATCTGGCAAAACAATGATTTTGCTACTTTCTAATCATTATATATATATTGAGAATACAATTGTTTTATATTTTATCCTTGTCTTTATTTAAGCAGCACAGCTTAGCATCGATCCTGTTGCATATTTTTGCATGAAATCTTACCGGGCATTCGAGTCATTGGGACTTTCTCACTCTCTTTTTTAGGTCATACTAATGAAACTTAAATCATAAACATATTTTTTTTTTCTTTTATTGTTATGTATAAATCTGTTCCCGCCAATTTACAGCCAATCGCTCACATGACGACCATGATCGCTCTCATGATAGAAGTGAAAGACATCGATCCAGAGAAGATGATGATCGTGAACGGCGAGAAAGAAAACGTGAAAGAGATAGAGACAGAGAAAGAGATAGAGGAGATAGATCAGATAGGGATAAAGAAAGAGATCGGGATAGAGATAGAGAAAGAGACCGAGACAAGGACAAGGACAAGGACAAGGACAAGGACAAGGACAAGGACAAAGACAAGGACAAGGACAAGGACAAGGACAAGGACAGGGACAGGGACCGAGATAGAGAAAGAGATAGAGATAGAGATAGAGAGAAAGATAGGGAGAGAGAACGAGACAGAGAAAGAGATCGTGATAGAGATAGAGATCGTGATAGGGATAGGGATCGTGATAGTGAAAGCAGCCGACGGCGCAGAGAGCGAGAGCGAGAGCGAGAACGAGAACGAGAACGTAGTCGGGAAAGACTTCGGCGCGAACGTGAGGAAAGGGAGGAAAGAGAAACAAGAAGAACCCGACGTTCAAGAAGGCGAAGTCGAAGTTATAGTCCCAGACGTCGCAGTCACAGTCCAAGACATCGTTCGCGTTCTCGATCGATAACACCTATTAATAGAAGAAGAAAAAAATTAAATAATTGGGATGTTCCACCTCCAGGTTATGAAGGAATGACAGCTGAACAAGTTAAAGCAACAGGTTTGTTATAATCCTTTAATTATTATATTTGAGTATGAAATTGTTTTTTTTTTTTTTTATTTAAATCTAAGATTGAATAATTTCATAGGGCATTTTCCACTTCCTGGACAACCTGCTACCACTAGACCAGCTGCAGTACCAACTTCTCCAGTAATACCAGGAATGGATCCTTCACGTGCTGCAATGATGATGGGTATGACTCATGAACTTCCCCCTCGCCCTAAAGTTAGTCAAGGAGCTGCGGGTCCAGTTGCACAGACCGCTTCGCTTGCGAGACAAGCAAGACGTCTTTATGTTGGGAATATTCCGTACGGCATTGATGAGGTGAGTTCTTTATTAAATAAATTAATAATATTTATTGATTTAATTAATTGCAATTTTGTTTAAAAAAAATTCAAATAGAACGGTTTATCGGATTTTTTCAATTCGACAATGGTTCAATTAAATATTACTACTGCACCGGGTAATCCTGTTATTGCTGTTCAAATAAATCACGACAAAAATTATGCATTTGTTGAGGTATGTTTTTAAATCGTATTTTAACAAAATTTTTTGTTTTAATATTTTTATTTTATTTACTAATTGTTTTTTGTAATTAATTTACAGTTTCGAGCTCCTGAAGAAGCAACAGCAGCGATGGCCTTTGATGGAATCACATTTCAAGGCCAATCATTAAAAATACGACGTCCAAAGGATTACCAACCGCCCCCAGGACAAAATCTTGAACCGCCACCGATTCATGTTCCTGGTGTCGTTTCTACTAATGTTCCCGATAGTCCCAACAAAATCTTTATTGGGGGATTACCTACTTATTTAAATGATGAACAAGTTATGGAATTATTAAAATCCTTTGGTGAACTTCGAGCGTTTAATTTAGTTAAAGATAGTTTAACGGGTGTATCTAAGGTATAATATATTTAAAGTTTGTTTCGAAAATTTATAGTATTTATAAGTGTAATTTGTTTTGAAATAGGGCTTTGCATTTTGCGAATACGTTGATCCAACTGTTACTGATTTGGCTTGTCAAGGTTTGAATAACATGGAATTGGGTGATCGTAAACTTGTAGTGCAACGTGCAAGTGTAGGTTCCGCCAAAAATGCGGGGGTTACGAATGTATTATCGACTTCAGTACTTATTCCAACTGGCAACGGTGAAATGCTACCGACAGCAGTTCTTCAATTACTTAACATGGTCACTCCCGAAGAATTAGTAGACGATGAAGAATATGAAGGTCTTTATTATAATTTTTTTTTTTTCATTTTTATTCATGTTTGTTTAATTAATGTTTTTCTTACTTTTAAATTTTGTTAGACATATTTGACGATGTTCGAGAGGAATGTTCTAAATTTGGAAATGTATTAGATATGAAGATACCACGACCGGGACATGGTGGAACAGAAAGCGGTATTGGCAAGGTAAATTTAAAGATTATCTTTTATGCAAGCATTTTTTTATTTTTAATTGTTAATTTTTTTTTTTTTTTTAGATTTTCGTGCGTTATGAAACAATAGATCAAGCGGGTATTGCACTTCGTGCATTAGCCGGTAGGAAATTTGCTGAGCGCACTGTTCTAACATCATATGTTAGCGAAGACACTTATTTTTCCGATGACTTTTAATCATAATATTTTACGATGCTTCTTTGTTATAATATATTGTTATCTAAATAGTTTCATGGTTAGTACCGATGCTAACAAATTATTGGTTTAATGAACAAAGTTTACATTTGAATGATTTAATCTAGTAATTTTATAATAAACTAAATGACGATTCAAACATTTTAAAAAAAAAATATTTACAATACATTCAACCGCAGGAATTAGTTGTAAAATCAATAAAAATTAGCCAAAAAATTACAATAAACAATAAAAGTTGAAACTCCGGACAAATTAGGGTTTATTGGTATATTGTTATGACGTATGCTACAACACATATACAAATATCTAAATTAACGACGCTACATTTATAGTCAACGATATCAATCTATAAAAAAAAAAAAGCAGACTTCCTCTTTTATCCTCTTCTCGAGCTATTCATAAATTAAAACAATCATGAGTATAAACGCAGGTGCAAATGTATTTAGCATTGAAAGCAAAGGTTTGAAATTAAACACCGCGGAAGATGTTCAAGAATTCGTGAATTCTATATCGGAAATAAAAAATTTGGAACAAGTGATACTGAGCGGAAACACTTTTGGTGTTGAAGCAGCACAAGCTATTGCTGGAGTGCTTAAAGGAAAGAAGACAATGAGGGTTAGGAGTATATTTAAACCTTTTGGAGTGTTACTTAATATATATATATAAATACTAATTATTTAACTTATAATTCTTTAACGCGTCAATATTATTGATATGATAATTCAATATATTTAATCAGATCGTTAATGCATCAGATATATTTACAGGTAGACTTAGAGAAGAGATTCCATATGCTGTTAAAGCATTTTGCGACGCGCTCGAAGAAAATGAACAGCTCATCGAGCTTAATTTTAGCGATAATGCGTTTGGTCCTGCAGGTGCTGAGCCAATGGTAGAATTTCTTAGTAATAACAAATGGTTCCAAGTTCTTAAACTTAATAATAATGGTCTTGGGACACGAGGTGGCACTCTAATTGGTAAGGCTTTACTCGCTTTGGCTAACAAAAATGTTTCTGAAGGACGTAGTTCGTCTTTTAGAACTATTATAGCCGGTCGTAACCGATTAGAAGATGGCTCTAGTCAAGCTCTTGCTGATGCAATTGCTGCTCATGGAACTTTGACCGAAATTCGTATGCCACAAAATGGTATTCGACCAGATGGTATCATTACCTTATTAAAAGGGTTTGCGGCATGTAAGAATTTAGAAGTTCTTGACCTTCAAGATAATACATTTACGGAGAAAGGTTCTGTGGCATTTGCGAAAGCACTTGTTGAATGGCCGAATTTGAGAGTTTTAAATGTTGGTGATTGCTTATTATCAGAAAAAGGTGGAGTAGCTATTGCGGAAGCTCTGTTATTAGGACATAACAAAAAACTCGAGACTCTTAATCTTCAATACAATGAAATAGATAGTAAAGGTGTGAACATATTAGCAACTGCCATTTCTACACATCTTAAAAGTTTATCTTCATTGGAATTAAATGGCAACAAAGTTGATCCGGAAGATATTTCTATTAAAAATGTAAGAAATGCTTTAGAAGAAAACGGGTATGCAGATGCATTAGGCGAATTAGATGATATGGAAGTGGAAGAAGAAGAAGAAGAAGAAGAAGAAGAAGAAGAAGAAGAAGAAGAAGAAGAAGAACAAGAAGAAGAAGAAGAAGAAGAAGAAGAACAAGAAGAAGAAGAACAAGAAGAAGAAGAACAAGAAGAAGAACAAGAAGATGATGTTGAAAAGGTGGAAAAAATTTCTGTAGTAAAAAATGAGGTGAAACTTGACGAAAAAAATACAACGGAATTGATAACGTCTAGTAAAGTTGTTGTCAAAGAAACAAAAGAACTTGATATAGAAAACAAAAAGGAACCAACAGTATCGAAAAAGCTGGAAAAACTCTCCATCAAAGAATTAGAAGACAAAGAAGATTTAGTGGATCCACAAAAATCTGAAAAACGTACCATCGAAGCGAAAGCTGTAGAAGATAAAACACGTGAAATTAATAAAGATCATGAAAACCAGCTAATAAATAGCGAAGACCAAGTAGAATCAATTAGAGAGCGTATTACGAAGGTTCAAATTCTTCATTAACTTTTTTCTTAGTTTTTTTATTGTCATTTTTTGTTTTGGATAGACCGGGGAGAAGATAAATAAGTTTCAAACAACTTAATCTCTAATCAATTTTATCTTTCTTAGTGTAATTTTCTCTAACAAAAGAATTCGAATAGATCTCTGGTCATTATAAACAATGGATCATATGAACGTTCAGAGTAAGCGTTCATCGGGATCATCATGTTTTTTAATTTACTGTCATATTTCTTCCTAACGCAAGTTTATTATTTATTAATCATAGTACAATAAAATAAATTAACAAGAGTACAAACCTAGATTAGAAAACAGCTTTGTAAAGATTGTTATTAAAAATTAATAAAGTGACTAAATTTAAAAATAAAATCAGGTGATATAATTTATTTATCGCCTGTGTTTCATTCGAAATTTTTTTTCTTATCTGTATAATGTATATCACGGGTGGAAAATCTAAAATTTTGGCGATTGATAAAAAAAATTTCATTCAAGATTAGTGATGTCAGAATTTTCAGAGGATAAAGAAAAGAATATAATAGAAATAACTACCAACAAAGAGCAGGAAGCTGTCAAACCTTTGACACCTGCTAAATTAGAAAAGTTTAAAAAAGCACAAGATAATACAGGAATAATTTATTTATCTAGTATACCACCGTTTATGAAACCTTCAAAAGTAAAGCATTTATTAGGACAATTTGGAAATATTGGAAGAGTTTATCTTGCACCTGAAGGTAAAAAAAACTCTTTGAAATAAATTTGGGAATATATTTTAATATTTTACTACAAGTATATTGAGTAAACATTCATATTTTAGATCCTAAAACGAGAATAAGAAGAAAAAAATATGGTGGTAATAAAAAGAAAAAATATACCGAAGGTTGGATTGAATTTTTAGATAAACGAATCGCTAAAACAGTTGCGAATACTTTGAATGCTCGACCAATTGGTTTGAATTTATTTTTTACTTTTTTTGAAAAACGGGTGATTCTAATGAATTTATATATAATCAATAATATATCATTTTAATTCATACATTAAATTATCCCTTTTAATATTTCTTTTATATATATATATATATATATATATATTAGGAGGAAATAAACGGAATTATTATCATGATGATTTATGGAACATTAAATATCTTCCAAAATTTAAATGGACCAATTTAACAGATCAAATAGGTAAAAAGTATTAAAACTTTTTTATATAATGATCTATTTTAATTAATTAAATTTTTTTTTTTTTTTGTAAAGTTCATGAGAAGGCTACAAGAATACAAAGATTACAAGCCGAAATATCACAAGCTCGAAGAGAAAATAAAGAATATTTAAAGAAAGTAGAAAAAGCAAAAATGATTAAAAGTATGGAAGAAAAGAAAGAAAAGAAACGTAAAGTTGCAGAAGTTGAAGAAAGTAATTTGGAAACTTTTACGGAAGCAGATGTACGTTGACAAAACCTTTTGAATATATATGATATTGAAGAATAAATTTAAATTAACCTTTTTTTTTTTTACAATTTCATTTAGACTAGAGAAAAGAAAAAGAAGAAAGTTAAAGAATTTCAATCAGATAACAAAGTAAGTCATATAGCTGATAGCTGATATATGTTTTTTTTTTTAATAATAACTTAATAACTTAATAACTTAATAACTTTTTTTTAAACCAATCAAGTCTTTTGAGGATGATGATAATGTAAGTAATTTCATTTTTTTATTTACAATTTAACAAATTGATCACATGATTAACATCAAATATATTAAATATATTATAATGAATAAATTTAGTCACAAAAATATAGTAAATTTAAGCAAAGGAAGTTGGTTATAAGTGAAGTTATTGAAGGGAGAAAGAATGATGAACCAACCAATACCAGCGAAGGAGTTAAAAAGATTTTGAGTAAAATATTTATGAAATAATTTATATATTAGAATTCTATAGAATCATTTTATGTGAATGATATGCATTTTTTTTTTAAGATTTAATTAACAGAAATCATGACATGCATTAGATAATGATCTCGTGCAGATTATAATAAATTGATAACTTCCCGAAAGCCACGTGACTTAGCAATCAAAATTTTACATGATTGGTGATACTTAATAATTTTGATAACCTGATATCCGCACAATATATGTGCGATTAGATTAAATTCATTTAATTTCATAAAAAAATTAAAAAAATAAATTTTTATCAAATCACAAACAATATTAATCCCTAGTCTTTACCTTTTTTATTAATAAAAATAAAATTGTTTTTTAATTTTGCATTAGGTTTTAGTGAAAAACATATTCGTGTTTGATTTAATACAGGAAAAAAAAATTACAGATTACTTTAAAACGTAATGATTGGATTCTTGTTTGACTAAAATTTTCTAGGGAAATAACACGTTTGTTACATGAGAATAAAAGATTACTCTGTAATATATGATAGGTTCAAACATGCAATTTCGAGTTTAAAAAAAATTATCTTTGTTTAAAAAAAATGATGAACGAATTTATGTAACCATATGTATAATAAATAATTGTAAAAACGCGCAATTACTGTTAATCTAAACAAACATAATAATTTGTAAACCGAATTTGATGATTAGAGTAAATTAGAGTAATAAACAAAAAGAAAATCCTTGTTATGACTGTCACCTGTCACAAATGTCACAAAATTTGATGATTGTTACTCAACAATATTTAAAATCATCATGATATACAGTTAGTTCGCGGAGCAACAGGAAAAAAAGTGGATATTTTCTTTTTTAAAAAAATGTTGATTCTTACCAAATTATTATTTCATTTATTTCATTTAAAATACTATTAATAGAAAACAAAAAAATCTAAATTTAATTTCAGGATATGACAATTGTCCCTATTATAATTATGATAATGACGACAGTGACAGATATTATGTAATATCTTTAGGGGTAAGGAAAATCTTAAGTAATACAAATTTTTTTTGTGGGGAAATAAAAATAAGAAATATATTATGATTTTATATTGTCATTTTAAAGTATACTTGGCAGTTTAATTTATTATAGTTATAGAGATAACCTTTTTCGAAATACATAATAACTTTAATTTCTTTTAATAGAATTTATTATCTTTTTAATCTTTAATAGAATTATATTACCTTTAATAGAATTATATAATCTTTGATAAAATTATAATCTATAATAGAATTCAATCTTTAATAGAATTCATAAAAAAAAAAAAAGTTTTTTATTAAAAATTTGGTTTTACATCGTGTATTTTGATAAGCGATGTATTACGCACTTAAGGGGTTTATTATCAGGATCCTCCCATCATATGGCGTATTATAATCAAAAAAAAATGTGAATATTAATTACTTATTAAAAGATACTCGATTTATACGATAAGTTAATAATAATATCCGAAGAGTTCACTAACCCCTTTAATGATCGCTTTCTCGCACTGTTGAAAATCAAGCTTTTGGATAGCAAAATTAGAAAAGGTTTGGTAGATCCTTGATTAGACTTACTTTAAATAGGTGAGCTCCGATTTGGTCTGTGCTAAAGATTGATTGGCGCAGTTGAAATCAAAAAAATTTTTTTTTCACATTACAGTTTAGATAGAAAAGATGCAAAGAATTTTCGTTTCGATAACATCATCTAGCAAAATCTTTTTCAATGTTGTTATCATGCGTAACATTTTTTCTTAATAAAGGGTTATAAAAGGATAAATAAATAAACAGAAGGTATTACAATCTATTTGTTTTTAATATAACCAATTTTCGAGTTCATTTCTTATAAGTAAGATAAAGTTGTCATACGAAAAAAAAAAAAAGCTTAAAAAAATGATTATTAGTTACACCTGTAAAATTACTTTTTGAAATACAAAAGTGATTAATATTTATTTTTAATTATTAATTCATTTTAGTGTACAATAAATAAATTATGTAAAATATTATAAATTCTTTGTAAGTTTATAAACAATCTTTTTGTATATCAAAAATGTTAAGAATAATGAATTAATAAAAAAAGTAAATGAAAAGATGAAATAATTTAATTATTATTTATATTTTTTTTTTCTCATGAGAAAAAAAAAAAATAAATAATAATTAAATTATTTCATCTTTTCATTTACTTTTTTTATTAATTCATTATTCTTAACATTTTTGATATACAAAAAGATTGTTTATAAACTTACAAAGAATTTATAATATTTTACATAATTTATTTATTGTACACTAAAATGAATTAATAATTAAAAATAAATATTAATCACTTTTGTATTTCAAAAAGTAATTTTACAGGTGTAACTAATAATCATTTTTTTAAGCTTTTTTTTTTTTT